TGTTAAAAAAACTCTTTTTTTTATGTTGAAGAAAAACGTTCCATTTTTCAGTAACACTAGCGATTTTCATAATTTTTACTACCCCAAACGTCTCGAAATTTACTAATTCGCTGCAGTGTGAAAAATTGCGTCTAATGAGTATATTTCGAAACCCAGAAGGTAGTAAAAATTATGAAAATCGCTAGTGTTACTGAAAAATGGAGCGTTTTTCTTCACCATGAAAAAAAGAGTTTTTTTAACCTTCTTTGAGATTTTCCAAGTAGTTTTTTGAACTTTTTATTTCAAAAAGATGGCTTAAAAAATTTTAAATATATATAGTTTTGTAGACCTCGACGAGCTCTATCTAACCATGTAAAATATCGAAGAAAAAGAAACATTTCTCCATTTTCGATTTACTGGCGCCCTAATATTGCATGCCTAAAGTGTAAATTTTTTTAAGTTCGACATTGAAACATTTTAATAACCTTCACTATTTAGTACCGATAGATGCAGTTTTCGATGCGCTTTAATTTGGTATAAAATACTTTGTGGGTATCATTTATAGTTTAAGTTCTAGAGGGGGGCGTAAAGGTTATTTAACACCCTGTAGTTCTTCATTACTAAAGTTATCAGAGTATGATCGATTTTCAAACAATGTAAAATATTGATAAAACCGTCTCTTCAACGATTCATATTGATATTAATAGAATTGTTGTGATCTTTGTCTAGTTGTAAAATAGGGTGTGGCTGTGGATGTCAATCCGGTGTTCAGTCACACTTACACGCACACTCACACCTCTCAAATAATTATATATTCGGATAGCCCGTGGAATTCTCTACAACTCTATTTATATATATATACATTTTGAATTGCACTTGTTCACTAAAAATATATTTCGAAGTGTAAATAAATTATAGTGTTGTTTGATTGAAGTTTTAAGACAAAATCAAAATAAAGTTAGTTATTGAAGAGCAAGGGCTCTTGAACTGTTTTGTGTTATAAATGACAGAACAAAAGGAGAAAAAGAAACGCATAACTCATGAATATATGTAGGTTAGTTGCTTTAGAAGAACTTTCTACTCGAAGAAAAAACGCATACAGTTTCGGAAAGGGTCGAAAGTTTGATATTCTAACTTGCATAATTGCCAAGTTGTATAATACTGTAAAAAGTACCACGATGGAGCAATTATTTCAATGATAAATTTCGTGATGCTGCTGTCTTTGTAATGGTCTTCACAACACCTATAACAAATAGAAAATTCATAGTCTATTCCTAGTAATCGATCTTCTAATTGTTCAAATATGTAATTAGAATTGTTGACATTAGTGTCCCAAATTTATCATTTACAAACTAATGATCAATGTGGAATTATATTTTCTCATCAAAAATCCGTAGGACATCCTAAAATGTGTCTCAACTGAACTTCTTAATATTGTGAAAAAAAGGTTATACTCAAAATATACGTATCATTCACGAACATAATTTTTTAAGGTGTGATGGTTCGTTAAATTTTGAATATGATTTCAAATATTTGAGACAATACCCTTTCAATTTAATAATACTATTACGACTACCCCCCCCCCCTCCCCTATTAGAAGCTCCTCTGGAGGAGTCGACTTGCCAGACATATTAGAAGCTCCCTCATTTTAAAAACTTTTCGAGAGTTTTTTGGAAACTTTTATTTGTGTTTTCATAGTGAAACTTAAAAAAATTACAAGGTTTTAAGGTAAAAATGTACTAAATTCTTGCTTGTCAGTATTAAAATCTCGGCATTTCCTTGAAAATCCTGCGAAAACCCGTAAAAACTCTGAAAATCTCCCTAAGGCTTTTGAAAAACTTTGGTACCTGAAATCTTTGAAAAATCGTGGGACATAATAGAAGCCCCCTCCGAAAATTTTGGACGCTGGACAGTTTAGAAGCCCCCGGGGGCTTCTAAACTGGGGGGTTTACTCTCGCTGACCTTTTCCTACCCTAGACTCTTCTCTATAATAGTGTGACTACTGTTTCAAAGGTTCGTCGCAGTGCCTCACTTCTATAGTTCGATCCATTTGAACGTATTTCAACACTCATTCATACTTCGAATTATTCCGTTAATCACTAACTATGAAGAATTACATTAAATGACTTCTATTTTTAAAGTAGAAAAGGTCATTTTCTTTTTCACGTGAAAACCGCCTTTTCATGGAGGATGACTACAGCATCTTCTTATTTGAATATTAAAATTACGATAAAAATGGGTAGAAGTAAATCAGATAAAGTTTGCTCAGATATTTCGCACTTTACTCAGCGATGCATGAAAAGGCGATCTCTTTTACCTGAATTTACCGTTGAGATATCTTTTGTTGATACACTTGCGACTGGTGTCATTTTGTTCACTATGACAGAAAAATAAGATTTATGCAATTCTACCACTAAAATTAATAGCAAAGTGTTTACTAACCACAGCTTGCACTATTAACAGTATACTGTCGTACTACGCCAGAATCATAATCAGCAACGTACACATTGCCGATTGAATCGAATTTAAACCCGAAACTAACCGTAGAGAATGAAATCACCACCGTACCCCAAGTTGAGCCTGGATTGAATCGATACAGTCCACCACCACTCAGTACGTACACCGTGCCGTACGTGTCAACAGAGACGTCAGTTGGAGAACCGATTTGTCCGTTTGCACCAGCGACTGTTATGCCTGAAGATGATCCTGATGGCCATTTTTGAATTCGGCCGTTGCCACGATCGGCAATATAAAGCGTAGAATTTTGGTCAAGGTAAATGCCCATTGGACACGAAAGTAGGCTTGAATCACTTCCAGCAGTACCAGATGGGTTTTCAGCTACTGGCCATCCACTACTTGACCACCGTGACCATTGCATCACTCGGTTCATCGAACAGTCTGACACAAAAACAGTGCTCTCCGCATCGACTGCTATGCCCCAAGCGGTCCCTATTATACTGTATAAACCCCAACTTCCACTCACAGCAACTTCACCAGCGATCGGTGGTAATGTGGACATGAATGAAATGTTATCATATTTCATTATTCTATGATTGAACATATCAGAAACATATAAATTTCCGTACATATCAATGAGTGATGCCGATGGGTTATTAACTTGACTAGCACGACTGCCAACCCCACTGGTTAAAACTATTCCCGTCAAGCTGCCATTAGAAAATTTGATAATACGATTATTTCCTCCGTCGCTAACATATATATTCGAATAGCTGTCAATTGATAGATCCCATGATCCATTCAGTTGACTGGTGCTATTCCCAAGTGTTTCATCTCCCGCAACGATAACTGGATTTTGGTTCCAAGTTAAGCAAGGTGCATCTAAAAATGATTAGTCAAGAGCTTGTTTTTGACATTGCGCAACACTGTAGCTGTAATGCAGAGTAGACTGTCTTCACTATCTCTCTTGAAGGTGAGAGTGTGAGGGAGAGTAAATAGTAGACCCACCCTCACACCATCACCCTCAATATTTATTTTAACATTTTGACCCATTTTTCTCTGTAAGAAGACATACCACATGGTAAGGCTTTTCAAAACACTTTTTTGCTTCTGTTAGACTCCAATGAGAAAATGAAATCTGTAAATTCAACATCGCAACTGAAAACACTAGGCAAAAATAAAAATAAAAATAATTGATTATCTATATAACTCAATGAGTTCCACAACATATAAAAAGCGAGCGGCTTTGTGGTGATCCGTCTCTTAAACAATGATCTACTTACTTATGGTTGTGGTTCCTATTAATCCTGCTGCTGATGCTGTTGTTGCGGACGCTGTTGTTGATGATGTCTTTGTTGCTGTTAGTGCTTTTGTTGTTGTGGATGCTTTGATGGTTGTTGTGGACACTTTTATGGTTGTTGTTGATGTTTTTGTGGTTGTTGTCGATGCCTTTGTGTTTGTTGTTGGTGCTTTTGTTGTTGTGGATGCTTTGATGGTTGTTGTGGACACTTTTATGGTTGTTGTTGATGTTTTTGTGGTTGTTGTCGATGCCTTTGTGTTTGTTGTTGGTGCTTTTGTTGTTGTTGTTGGTGCTTTTGTTGTTGTTGTTGGTGCTTTTGTTGTTGTTGGCGACTTTGTTGTTGTGGGTGCTGTTGTTGTTACTGCAGTGAATATTTCAAGATGCACGAAGAAATGACATCAAAAATTTCTTTGATAGAAATACTCGTTGTTTTGATATGCGAACGTATGTTTTTCAAAGAATAAAGCATTCTTTCCGCAATAGAAGATCATGTTTTTTTTGTTTATGGAAATTCACATCCTTCATACAAGTGTCGTCTTCTATTTAGGACTATTTTCTGGCCCGTCGAAAACTAGAAAATAAGAAGTTTTTGGAAAAGTTTTCTTCTAATTCAAACGCGAACTTTATCGATTAAGTGTCTGAAATAAAGATTTTCTACGCGATAAATCTATGAAAACCGAAGCAACCATCTGCTGCCCAATTTCAGAATTTGGAAATCTTCCAACTTTATAAACATTTTCCAAAAAAAAACTGATGGTCTTTTATTAGGTCACCCGAACTTTTTCGCTGAAGTGGTCTTCTATTGCGAATGAGTGACGGGTAGGAGCTTTATACCGATCCCTTCCCACTTATAAGAGATCTTTGACAAATTAGGATGCGAAGCAACTAGTATTCTATATATTCGGGAAATTTTAAGTTCTTAGAATTACGGTCAGATGAGTTAATCATTGAAAGACTCCGTAGTTTTGAAATGTGCATCAGTTATTGTTGAGTGAAATAGAAATGTTCTAAGCCTCGTATCTCTACCAGATTTTCGGTCTCTTATTCCGAAAAGTTATACTTCCTTAATAGAATATGCCATTTGAATCCATCTTCGAATTTTAGAAGTACCAGTCGATCTAGAAATCGTTGATGTCGTTGCAACTGAATTGTACGGTGGACATACTTGAGAGACAGCAAGTGCTAATGGATAACACATTGGTTGATTACAACGAGTGCTGTTGACACAAACAGTACAAGGTACTGTGCACGTCATATTGTAATTCGAGCACGTTGTCAAGCTTGAACAAGGAAGAGGTGAAAAACCACATACACCACCCGATCCCGAGCTAAGTACCATGCATTCACAGTCAGGGTTAGTCGAGCAAGACGCTGCTCGAGCGCCACACGTCGACGGTTGACATTGCGAGCCAGCTGGTAGTTGCCCTTTTTAAGACTGAAAGTCTAGTGTTGGTGATATGATAGATGAATACAGTTACCTGATACGCTTGCAACGCATCTAGACAATCAAATTATATGGCTCTAACAAATTATTTATCGGTTAGAGATGAACAACTTACATTAAAGCAGAAAGTACAATCCACATGTTCGTCGTAGTAATAAAAGTTTTGTACATGAGTTACTTGGTTTTTATACTCATTCTGCAACTATTTATATGTTTTTTTTTATGAAAATAATGTAAGGAGCTTCAAGAGTAAAAAAGGGCGGAATTTTGATCTTGTTGAATTATATATGATTCGATGCAGTTTGATTTGATGATTCAGAATATGTTATCGTCATGTTTTTTTTGTAAATATACAACACTGCTCAAAGTTATAAGAACAACAAAAATTTTTTGGTTCTTCTGGCATTTATCCATTTCTTTGCAGCTCTTGAGTTAATCTATCTAGTCGTGCATACGCAATCAAGGGTGTTGTATCTGTATTAGTGTAAAAAGCGAAAAGATAATCCGTTTATTTGCCTATTCGTTTTTACTGTATACTTTAAAGTATTTTTAAAAGAAATGAAAAAAATCAAGACATGTAGTAAATGGTGCACTTGTACATATCTTCTCCAATGAAATAGAAGCAATTGTGTATATTTGAATACAAAACGAGAATGCAAATAGGCGAAATCAATAGGCAAATAGGTAAACTGTTCTTTCAACTTGAGGGTGAGTGGCATAACTATAATGTTAACATTTCACATGTACAACCAAAGAATGAGGGTGAGGGTCTTCTATTCACTCACCCTCACCCTCAAGATGCGAACATTAGTATTGTCTGTCACATATACATTGAATTGACTGTCGACGACCATAAAAGCAGGACCATCTAATAAGGTAGAATTATTGTCTGTTATGCCAGCGATTGTAGGTGGGTATGTGGGTGTGGGTGCCTGATGCGTAAAATAACCTCACTAACATCCACACCCACATTCCTTTTTCGTTGATCTTGGTCTTACCCGTCAGAGTGTGGGTGTGGGTGTGGGTGTGGTGTGGGTGTAGGGGTGGGTGTGGGTGTGGGCGTGGGCGTGGGCGTGGGTGGGTGTGGCTAGGGTGTGGGTGTGGGTCAGGGTCAGGGTTGCCAGATCGTCCGAATTAGTCGGAATTTTCCGAATTTCCTAAGTTTTTCCGACTGCCTTCCGACTTTCCGAATCTACCCGAATTCTTGAATTTTTTCCGATTCTTGCCGAATTGTAGTATTTGCTTTAAATTTCCTTTCCATTATAATTTTCCATATAATTTTTGATAGATTTCATATGGCGCTATGTTTATTTTCTTATAATCATTGGATAATTGATTTTATTCTTACAAATAAGAAGAGAAGG